AAATCAGGGGAGATATATGACAGCTATCAAACATAGGTACATTAACTTTCGTGCTTAGACACTGACTTATGTCTTAGCAATGTTTGTTCACCCCTCAGGCATTCGCGTCTTACTGACGTTACATTGACAGCTCTAGAAGTTAGATAAGGAGGATCTTAAGCCATTAAAGGATAGATCTAGTTTCTTCACTTATATATATATATATATATATATATATATATATATATACACACACACTCCATTGAGTTCTTACTATTCATGTCTGCAAGCAGTTATTCAATTTACAGATATGGAAAATGTATCCATAGCATCATCTATAGTAAATAACAAAGGTGATACTCTTCTTATAAACTTATGCATTTTTTTTTAATAATCAGCTTAAACTTTATGTTTCAGCATCCAAAAATTTTATTTTATTATTATTTTTTTAACATTAGAAACATGTTTATAAAACGGGTGTTTAAAGAAAAAACAAAATGAAATAAAATAAAATAAATTTCATCACAAATAATCAATTTTGAAAAAATGAAATTTATGTATTTTCCTTTTTTTTCCAATGCTTATGTTTCATTTTAATTATGACCCATTTATTATTTAATTTCGTTTCAATTTACTAAATTACTTAATTTTTCCAACCGTTTAATTTTAATCTATTTAATTATTAGGCAAAATGCTTGAAATATATTTAATCTGTTTAGAAGTTCTTTAGTTATTTAAACGATCCCATACCAAAAATTACAGACAAATTCAAGAGATTGTCCAGAAATTGCTGTTTTCTTTCTACGTTGATTAAGTAATTAAAGTTGAAATCACAAAAGAATAAAAGGAGTAAGAGGAGAGAGAGAGAGACAGAAGGAAAAAAAAACTGTGTTTCTTCCCATTATTTTTTAATAATGAACAAACAAAAATAATAATAAGTAAAACTAATTTATTACAATTTTTTTTTAAATCTTCTAATCAACTTAAAATGTATTTTACTCACCTTTTATTTTATTCTTTCCAATACGATTAACCTCATTTATTGTAATGTTTATACAATTTATTTAATTATTAACTGTTTTGTTTAATTTGTTTCTATTTTTTTTTTAAATATATATTTTATAATTAAATTTTACAATATTAAATGATGTTAGAGTTATTTTTAATCAAATATTTGTTGGTGTTTTAAACACATCGTGGCCTATAACTTAGTTAACCGTTCTCCACACTGAAACTGAGCGACAGAAAATACACTTAAATGACTTTTAAATCATCATGTATTTATGAATTTATAATACCGGATGGCTCAAAAGTAAGTTAACTAATTGTAAATCTTAATTTATTCAACCGTTATAAAAATTAAATATAAATGTTATAAAATTAAAATTACTTTTTGAATTGAATTTCTTAAAATTGTCAGTTTTTCCCTTTGGTAAAGAGAAGGACGAATCTTGTAAAATATGATCTTGTTCTTTTGTTATTTTGGAAAATTTTAAGGAAAAAATTTTTTTTAAAAAAATGTGCAAGTTATAAAACCAATTTTTTGAATTTACAAAAGAAATGGAGTTGAGATTAGAAAAATTTTGAATTTAAAAGAAAAAGAAATCACAGCTTATTTTTTAAATTTAAAACACCAAATTTACGTTTAGAAAACCCAGATTTTAAAAAAATATATAAAGTTTAAGGCAACAAAATTAGATTTAAAATTAAAATATACATATATATAATGTTATTTTTCCAATTATAAAATCAAATTTTTCACTTAAAAATTTTACAAATTCCAATATTATTATTATATATAATCACTTAGAAAATATCTTACTTAAAAATTAACTATCATAATTAAAATTTTTCCCTATTTAATTTATAAAAATGATAATTACTTAACACCATACTACGAATTCCTTCATATGTAAGAATTTACTAAAACGACGAAATTATTTTCTTTAATTTTTAAAACTTGATATTTATTCTGAAATTGCTATATATATATATAAAATTTAGAAAAATATTTTAATAAAATTTTTAAGAAATTTTATTTTCTTAATAAAACGAGAAATTCGAGTTTATATGATGTCGAATGTCAACATGTGGGGATGGGTTGAAGTGTCCCTTTATCATCTTTCCTCCCTGCATTGTGTTGCAAGTGGTCACTCAGGAGTCAGATAAGAGCATTTGAAAAGCTGACCATCCTAACGTTAAGTCGATTACTCTAACGCATGCTCAAAAGAAGTAAGTTTGATAGAGAAGTGCAACTGTACACGAGTATAGAAGAGAGGAGGAATAGGAGGAGGAGGAGGAGGAGGAGAGAGCGAGAGAGGAGAGAAAAAGTATATAACTCAAAGCTATATATTAATTTTTATAAACAAAAATATTAAGTAGAATTTACATTTTTATAATTCTATCGAGTCACATAAATATTTAAAAAAATGATTTCTGAAACGTCGTTTTAATTAAACAAAAATCAATCTCTCTCACTCTCCCTTGCTTCATTCTAGTTTGTTGTATAATTATCTCAAAGCATAGATTGATTCTGTTACTTAATTAATAATGCAAAATCGATATAATATAATCTGCATATGTTTGTTTCATAACGCGATACAGATATTAAAATTTTTTTTTCTTCTTTTCTCTTTTTCTGTGTTAATAAATATTTAAATATTCATTTTTGAGTATTATCGAGTGTATAATTTGACACACAATATTAAATAGTTTGTACGTTAATCGATAATTTCTGTTGCATTGCCTAGACATGGATAGATAATTATACATATTTATGCGTTATAGAAAAATCCTAATTTTTTTTTTACTAGTAATTTAATCAATTAATGCTTAATTTACATTTTTAATTTTGTTTTCTTCCTTTATTATTATATTTTGTACGAGTGTGTACTGAATAAACATGCGTGATAGACACTATACTTTGAAACTATAGTCAAATTCTTAAAAGAAATAGATTCTGTCGCATAATTTATATCTAATTTACATGAAATTATTGCGAAAATTTTATATGAATTTAATCATTTATAAAGTATAAATCTAATTATTATTTATTGCTACAGATTTTCTTCATTGTTTAAAATTCGAAATTATTTGCAAAAATTTTTATTATATTTAATTAAATTTATATATCTTACGAATTATTATGGTTATTTACTACAATTTTCTTTGTAGTAAATAACCATAATAATTCGCTGCATTATAATTCTCACACTTTTAGCAGCATGAATTTTGTTTAATTGACATATAACTAGACGATGTTAAAGTTTTATAATTCCTAGTGGATAGGACTTTAGATTACCTTTAATTTAATACAGGTTGCAGTTACAACTAATTTCTGCATAAATTTTATGATAGAATTTGAAATTTATCATCAGGTATCTCATTATTCTATACATAAATCTTACTCTTACTCCCACAGGGATGATAAATGTTTATTTTGTAAGCGTACTTCCTCACTGTATATCTTAACTTATATCAGATAAATACAAATAATAGGCTGGTCTTGATTAAATATTATTTAATTTATGAATTTAATGTTTTTTTTATTAATAGAGAATAAAATACTTTATGATATGTTTGTCGGTTCTTGTTATAGAAGAGTTAATTAGTAAGCCCCTTGATAAACTTTTTCAATAAAAAAAAATTTTAATTACAAAATGTTTTAAAAATTAATTCAAGTTAATGAAGATGAAAATATTTATTTAATTTCAATAAAAATAATTCAATTAAGTAAATAAATAATTAAGAAATCTACTAGAAAAGATCACTTAATTTTAAGCATTGCAGTGAAGCATCCTTCCTTTGATACACACTGTAATTGTATACTATTTTATACATTATTTCTTTAATTATTCAGACAAATTCATGAAAATATAATTAAATAACCGAGTTTTTCACGACAGACATAAATAAAATATAATATAGTACAAATGAAATTCATATTTTACGCCAATGTACACTACACACGATCTTACAGGGTTAATAGATCTGATAAAATATTTAAATATATATATATATATATATATTGTAAAATGAATAAATATATCAGGAAATAATTCTGACGTCTTTAAAAATCGCTTTAAAGTATTAAAACTTCTTGAACAGTAAACTAATTTAAATAATGGTGTGAGATAACAAATCTTTCAACTTAATATAATTAACCATATAAGTTACTTGAACAATGGCGAAGTTTCAATAAATTATAAATTTAATGAAGCAATTCATCTTGATTCGTATACTTAAATAACTAAAATATAAACAAAAGAAGCATTTTTAAATTTACAAAATTCAAAAATATTTCATATAAAAAAAAAGAAAGAAAGAAAAAAAAAATGGAGAAAAAAAAGTAAAAATATTTTCCAAATTTTCTCGAATTTATTTATTTATAATATTTTTTTAAGATAAATTTTAAGGTTTATTTAAAGTGCAAACTTTTTATTAATAGTAGAACATATTGTAAGGGTCAATATAATTTTTTTTTTATGTAGGTAGAAGAACAATTGATTAAGATATATACGTATATATAACGTCATAAAAATAAATATTCTTATACACATATACATGTATGTAGATATATATATATTGAAGTAAATAAAATTTATGGTACCAAAAAACATGGCAGCATCCAGATAAATAGGAAGAACGAAATAACTTCGTGAATAAAACATCATTGCAGTGGCTGCAATATCTACGCACCTTCAAGTTACAATACCTAAGCATTGACATGTTTAGTGTTTAAAAAAATCTTTTTTTAAGCTTTCCCCTCCTTCAAACTAGGATAGAATGTTTAAAATAAAATTCTTCTTTCTACAGAAAATAAAAAATATTAATAAAAGTCTTCCCCATCTATCTACATTTATATATATATTTTTTTACCGCGTAATATAACATGCTTAAAATAATTCTAAAAACGTTGAAAAATAAGAAAAAAAATGTGTTTTTTAAATATAGAATAAATGAATTATCAAATTTTTTAAAGTCTTATTTGTGTATTTTATAAGTTGCAGGTACTTACTTACCTGCGCTTTCTCCGATCGAGTTCATCACTTCGGTAAGAAAACATACAAGAAAATGAAGAAAGGGGAAAAGTAGATTGGGACGACGCTCCATGGCATCAGTCATTGTTCATCTGCCAGCACAAAAAAAGCACTTATTTAAATAACATAAATTTATTAAATTTTTTCGCCTCTACGTTGTGGCAACACCGTCGCAAACAGCAGTCGAAAGACTACAGACAACTGGCAGTGCTTCATGCGATCTGTGCGACACCTATCGCCAACCGGATGTTATATGCCAAGCTACTAGAGCGCCGCCTGCCAAGACCAAGAGAAAGCACTCTTTAATATTCCATCGTGACCGGTGTAGTGTGTGGCCCGACTGAATAGTTGATGATCTTGTGAGCACAATAGCACGGATATACGGTTATATATCACTATTTTGTGCGTGTCTGTGCCTAAAGGGACGAAGTTACCATGGTAGTACACAAAGTATAAAAGGGGTGGGATCATTTACCACAGGAAAAGGCAAAAAAAAAAAAAAAATTCCACTCATCGTTGCACATTCTATGACGTAAAGAATAGTCACGTACTGTGCAGTTGTTACTATGACGATTGTATAACGTGATACGAATCATCATACTGACCCCGTACAATCAACATGATAACAATGAAAATCATTCCCTTTTTTTTTAAATAACGAAAATTATTATGGGCTATATATTCTTCTCGAAACTATTTAGCATGCTGCCAATGATGAGAAATGCGAAGGAGAAAAAGAATTTAAGAGAGGAGGAGGGAAAGATATTTTACTAGGAAAATTGGATAGTTTTCGAAATGGAAAAACGGTATAAATATATATATATATAAATTATTTTCCTATGTTTACGAATTATCCAACTCACGTAATTTGCACTCTTTTGTGTGTCTCTGTAGAATGGATATTTGGAAAATTCGATATTGTCACGCAACCGTTTTAACCGTTCGTTACGCAAAGTGTGATATATGTGTACATAGAAGAATATATATAACGTATACATACGTTTAGGAACTGATTTCACGCGAAAATTAATTAATTTTTCAAGACAAAAATATTACTTATAAAAAATTAAATTATTATTATTGTTATTGTACACAAAACTTAAAACAAAAAATGTAAACACGTACTACACATTATTAGTAATTTAAAGTTTAGTTGAATGGTGAGGAGATAAAGCTTAGAAAATTTTTATCAGTCATACTTCTGGCGTGGTTTTTGATCCAATTGATGCGGTTATTCGGCATTTTGCCAAATTTTTCTCCTTTGGCAAAAGATATCTTCTTTTTTCTCCCCCTCCTCCTCCTTCTTCTTCCCTCTTGCTGGAATCCCCCTTTATTGTAAAACTAGCAAATGGAGTACATAAAATAAAAGGAAAAATTTTTCAAACATTTATTTTCAAATCGTACTTGAATAGAGCATATCGCTATTTACTTATTCAACAGATGAATTAGGTTAAGTGTTTTTATAATACTAAATAAAATACTAATATAAATATTTATTCATTTTATAGATATCTTCTCTTGTAAATTATTCTATATAATTTCAAGACAAGGAAGCCATTTCTGTAGTATCTTTTTATATTTATTTTTTAAAGTGATCCTTTATAAAGTATATAATTTAATAGGTTTCTTTAAAATAAATTTATCTTTTTTTTATTTTTTTATAGAAGATTGTTTGATCTTCATCTTTTTTCTTCTTCTTGTTTGCTCGGTTTAAACAGAATTTTTCTTCACTTATAAGTATTGATTACTAAGAATAAATATATGATACATTCTAATTTCCTTGTATATAATATTCAATTCTTATTAATAATATATATATATATTTTAGAATATATCTTATAGTTAATTTAATCAGTAGAGTTGCCTGATTAAATAGGGATGCTCTATATTAAAGATATACAATATACAACAACACATACAAACTTAGTAACTTGTTTCCTTNTTTATATATATATATATATTTATTTATAACAGTCTTATTTAATATATTCCATGTTTTTTTACAAAAATACTTTAAAAGTACATCACTTTAGCAATATATCTTTATTTTTGTAAACACATTTCTTATATGTAAATTCTTCAGTATATTTTTTTGCAAAGTTGTTTATAATATTTTTTAATATATTCATTTCTTTAAAATTCTGCACGTGTAAACCTTTTTTATTTATTACAATTCGATGCTATATATGCTAGAAAATAATATAGTATATGTTAATTATAATTAATTTAAGCGTCAAAGCGGAAGAGATGCCTCATTAAGTAACGATGCCCTATTATATACAATCGGCTAGCGTGCAATCTTGCATATACTTTTATTATTTCATATCATGCAATAAGGGAAAATATATTATTAAAACAAAAATACCCTTTATTAAAATTATATAGTCTTTCAACTCCATTTTAGCAAATTTCACACTGCAAGAATGGGCTTGAAACATTATTTTAAGCCCATTCTTGGGGCTTTATTTCACACTGAAAGAATATTAAAGCAGTAATTTATTAAATATTGAGCCATCTTTCTTGTTTAAATGTAAACTTTTAAAAACATTTATCTTATAAAATATTCAATAGATAAATTTTATTAATTTAAAATCGTTGAATCGTGCAAATTGCCTCGAGAGATTTCTATTTTTTAAATCAAAAAAATTATTATTTATGTTTACTAAGGTAAATATAAATATTATAAACTCTGTTATTATATTGTATTTGAATGAAAATTAAAAAAAAATGTTTTATGATTAAATTGCAAATCAATGCATGGCATCATTTAAATTTTTAAAATTCGTTTCATATATTATTAAATAATAACCTAAAGTACAATTCGTAGAATTTGCGTGATGAATAAACAAGGATTATGCTATGAATATATATATATTTTATATATAGAATGGTACACATTTGTAGATAAAAAAAAGAATGAGAGCAAATTATCTATTTTTGCTTAATTTTTTTTTAAATTAAATTTTCTATTTTATGTGTTTTCGGAAAAATCGTAAAATTGTTAAATGCGGTCAAACCTACGAACGACGAACACTTAGGTAAACGTTAAAAAATGTCCGTGGTTCGGAGGTGGATGCTATTTGGAGGTTATTTTATACACATTTACGTTCAAAAACTTCCTGCAAAAACGGCTGCTTTTTAGGAGTTTCCCCTATTGGAGGAGCTCGATTGTTTAACTAAATGTCTCAAAAATCGTAATTCGTGACGGTTTTATTATATTATAAATCATTTAAAATACATTTTAATATCCAAATATAATTTACGGACTTTTCAATATTTATTATAATTAACGTGTAAATTAATTATTTATATACAATAAATAAGAAAACTATACAGCAATCTAACACATCAAAATAAAACACGAATTTTAGTAAAAGAAATAGTGGAAAAATGCGATTTTTAACACATTTTTCGTGTTAAAATTATGTGCTTGAGTGTTAAAATCAATCCGGAAACGAAGATTAATGAGGAAATAATGTTAGAAGAAGATTAAGATCCGAACCCACGTTAACATCCGAATTGATGTTCTTCATTGATACAACGTGAGCTGTAATGCTCTATCATCAAATTATCAGCATGGACATGTTCTAGGATAAGTACAAAACACTGAAAAGACGTGGGTTCGGATCATACACAAATCCAGATGTTATTTTCCTACAGCTTTTGTTAGTATTTAATTTAACACGTAAATGATATTTTAATAAATATACGGCTCAATACAAAAATATTCAAATTAAACACTTAAAAATCGAGAAAGAATTAAAGAAAAATTATATTTAAATATTAATTTTTAATTTTAAAAAATATGTAATTTTGCAAGTAAACAAAAAAAAAAGAAATCATTTATTTAAATGAATAAAGTAATTGTATTTAAATAATAATAAAATAATTTAAAATTTCTTTATTATGTTAATGAATATAAAATAAAATATAAAAAATTATAGACGATATTAAAGATTTAACATAGCATTTAAATGAGTTAATGAAAAATAAAAAAAAAGGATGATCAAAAGAGAAATGAATTTAGGAAACATTCAAAAGAATTTTAAGTAATTAACAAATAAAGGATACAAAAATAAATAAGGAGAAGAAAAATTTAAGTAAACCAACAAACAAGAAATACAAATAATGAAGAACTTAACTTTAGTAAATTGTTCAAAAGAATTAAAGTAAAAAAATAAAAATAAAAAATAACTTTAAGTTAGTTCTTTTTAAAAAAAAAAAAATACTATGAATTAACAACATAAAAATATTTTTTTCCAAGAGTTAACTGACTTTTGGACCACCCTACGAACGGTTCAAAAGTCACTTAACCATTTTCTGTCTCTGCAACACTTTTCGGAATCGTAAACAGAGTTCAGAACGAAATGCTTTTCTTTTACAGTGGTTAACTGACATTTGGGCCAGTTTATAAGTGAGTATAATTATTTTTTTTATTAATTACATTTTTCATTTAATGATAAAAGAAATCGCCTGTTTATCTTCAGTAAGAGGTATGACGCAGAGACAAGGAGATAATTTAAGGAAAGATTAAGATCCGAACCCACGATAGAATTTGTATTGATGTTCCTTAATGATATAGCAAATGTTCTAATTACCATCAGAAGCCTTACAAGGAGTAAGGCTTCTGAAAGTAAGTATAAATTAGTGTAAGGTTAACACCTCAATTTAAATGAGATTTCCTTATGAAATTTAAATTTTTTTAAAAATGAAACTTAAGTAAAAGTTCGTAAATTTTAATNATTTTAAATATTTCAATTAATTTTATGTTCATCATTTTACATTTTTTTTAAATATATTTGTTTAATATATTTATAAGCAGAAAATATTTACTTAAAAATGACTGACTCCGGTGTGTGTATGTTGACTTTAATTGTAATTAATGCATATTTTAAATCAAAATTTTTATGTTTAAACTTAATTAAGTTATATTTTTAAGGTATTTATATATTTATAGACAGGAACATATTTATTTAAATATTTTAAACTGAAGTTAACGTAGGTTGATTACAATGCTGTTATCGTCTATAGTAAATTTGATTAGTTGAAGCTTTTAACTAATCTTAGATGATACGAAAACTTATCAAGTATTTAAATATTCCAATTATATCATTATCCTTAAAATGTTATCCAAATATCTAACGTTAGAAGTGTATAATCTGTGGTTATTATAGAAAATCTACCCATTCATTTATTATTAATCATTATACTTTGATTGTA